TCAATTACCATTTACCCAATGGTCTTTATCCTAACCCATAACCAGGGGGTTTAGACCCCCCCCCCCTTACCTCGAAATTATACTATATATTTAAGGTGGGAATATATTTTCACATATGAACCTAACATTCCCTAATTCACCTTTATAATTTTGAATTGCCCCTATACCATAATTTCGAGTTAATGTAGCCGAATATCGACTCTGGTGAAACACAGAGTACAGTTGAGGTATTAAGCCTGATTAAGAGTTCACACTTATGTGTGAACCTCCTGGGATCCGCATTTAGCACGTTGGCTGGAAGCTCATTGGGGGCTTACAGCGCATTAGGGATGATGACGTCAGAAAAGCAGGTAACTGCAGAAGCCCTTATTTTAAAACATAAGAGGCTTGCTTTTACTAAACGAGTTTATTTTGATTTGTTATATGCTACAGTAAGGTGTGGGAGGTATGTTTTGAGCGAATGTGAGACGTGTATACGGTTAGGGACAATATTGGATTACTACTGAACTCGCATTGAAATCACCAATGCCAAGGGCTCTGTTTTTTCATATAAACGACTGATAGCAGTTTTTTCATTTTATTTTTACCCTATGCATAATAAACGATGCTTCAAAAAAGATTGTCAAAGCTCAAATTACATTCTCTAGAACGACGACGAAGAAGAAATAGGGGTGACATGATAGAGGCGTGACTGAATGGTCATGGTAAAGGGAGATATTAATAACCAATTAAACGTATCAACATGAAACAGAACAGGAATAAATTGGATAGGTTTTAGATTTAGGAAAAGACCTGGGTAAATACAGGTAGCAGGGGACGAACTTGAAAATACACACATAACTTCTTGCAGTGCTGCTCCCCTTTGTTTCATATGAATGGATTTCATTCCTATGCTCAATGCACGATCCTTGGCCAGACATGCTATTTCAGTAAACTGACTTATTCAGGGAATATGAAGACTGGCCAGCTGATGACGTCATTTGTCCATTAGCGATGCCTGTGCATGGGTCACTGGGGTAACAGAATTTGCGTACGCCAGGAGCCAGCCTTTTAATCCTACCCCCAGGCAAGTTGAAGACCTGGCTAGCTGATCACGTTATTGTCCATTGGCGATGCCTGTGCAAGGTTCACTGGGGTAACGAAATTTGGGTACGCCAGGGACCGGCTTTTTAATCCCCCTTGATCGTACCTGTGCAGGAACGCTGAGCGGCTAGCTGTTGACGTCATTGACCATTAGCGATGCCTGTGCATGGGTCACTGGGCTAACGAAATTTGGGTATGCCAGGGACCGGCCTCTTAATCCTACTCCCAGGCAAATTGAAGACTGGCTACCTGATGACGTCATTGACCATTGGTGATGCCTGTGCAAGCTTCACTGGAGTAACGAAATTCGACTATGACAGGGACCAACCTTTTAATCCCCTTCAGCTAAATGGCAGGGACCATAGAGCAACATGCAGATGTAACAAACTAGGCTGGTTGTAAGAATTATTCCAGAAGGTTCCAGAAGTTTCGTGTAGGGACCTGACCTCAACAACGCACATTCCCCTGGGGATTAGCAGGTCTGAGTCACAAATGGCGGGCGTCTCTGTTCATAGTTGCGTATAATGAATCATCCTATAGTATTCAGTAATTTAGAGAAATTAGCCTTTATTCATTTTGTATTAAATTTGTATTGTATAATATTCCTGGTTATAGTACCAAGAGTATTCTAAATATTAGGAGATTGGAGTTAAGTCACCATCAGTGACGTCACGAATCAGATCTAAGTTGTAAGGCGCGAGTGACCGGCGGTCATAGGTCATCAGAGTTGACATGTCCACTATTTCTCAAAGTTCAAATAACCATTTTGGGGAACGGGAACAGCTCTGCCGTTAGATGCTTGTGTAATTTAACTTCAGTAAAATAATTCAACCAGTCTGGATCAATTAAGTACAACAGAGGTTAATTGTTATAACTTAAACCTGGCTAAGTAACTTGGTAAGCGATGCGGAACAATACAATGCTCTAATCTGGGGAAACCCATACAGAGGGAGAGCAGTGTGGACGCGAGATCAACTGGGAGAGGTCAACCATCTTACCTCCCCCAAGACCAGCCCCCAACATCTTTAGCTGGTCGCCCAAGGTAGAGTTGCTGTATGAGTTTTTATAGGGATAGTCAACTCATTGCCGTTCAGGTCAAGTAGGGAGTGAACATATTTAGATTTTGTTTTAGTTTCTTTTAATAAATTAATTAGTTAATATTTTGCATTTTTATTATTTCCATATGCTTGTTATATGTACAGTATATGAATTTGTTCTGGTCACGTGGTCCCTACGAGGCAGTTAAATTGGGCGCCGATCCTAACATCGAATCGGAATTCATTATTCCCGTCTAATTTATTCCACACTCAAGGTCATCAGTTATAGTGGGGATCAAGCCCCAAGGTTGATTAATTAGCATGATCGATCCAGACCTCGATCATTGCTCTGTGTTACTGGTCTGGTGGTGGCGGCGGAGGCGACTCTAGGGTTTTGCTCAAAGTCTATGTCACGTCATACGGGTTGTAGAATCCTAAGTCGGTCAATCGTCTTAGGACCACGTGGCGTGGAATCGGCTTTAGTAAAGTTTTGGAGTCCCTTGTAGAGAAATAAAAGTAAGAATACGGGTAGAGGGGGAGAAGAAGATAAGACGAGAAACCCTCCACGTGTTACACAGAAAACCCAGATGCTACGACCAGCCCAGGAAAAAAATCGAGAAAAACCCATGATGCTATGACCGGCCCAGAATTTTTTTTCGAGAAAAACACATGATGCTACAACCAGCCCAGGAAAAAAATTTGAGAAAAACCCTGATGCTACTACCGGCCCAGGAAAGAAAATTGAGAAAAAACCCTGATGCTACGACCGGCCCAGGAAAAAAATCGAGAAAAACCCATGATGCTACTACCGCCCCAGGAAAAAAAAATTGAGAAAAACCCTGATGCTATGAGCGGCCCAGGAAAAAAATCGAGAAAAACCCATGATGCTACAACCAGCCGGGGGGAAAAACAGGAAAAAACCCTGGTGCTACGACTGGCCCAGGAAAAAATGAAAACGGCCGGTCATAGACGTACTTTATACTACTCACAATATTGTATACCGTTTGTGTCACATTATTGTATACCGTTTGTGTCACATTATTGTATACCGTTTGTGTCAGACCAATTCGGTACTAGCGACATCGGCATGAAGTTCTTATTTCGTTAAACATGATACGAAACTGGAGAAAGTTGCAAGGTATGCCATCAGGTTCCAGAGCTGAGAGGTATGACTACGAGGAAAGACTGAAGGTGATAAACATCCCGTCATTGGATGAGGGAAGACTCAGACGAGACATGATTACCTCATAAAAATATTCAAGAAATATACAACACAGACTATTTAGCAAAGGTTGTTACACGAACAAGGAAAGGGAACTATGAGGCGAAAACAAAATGACATTTCGACAATAAAGCACTGGGAAGGGTAAAGTCTGGGTAAGGATTTGTGATGGAAGGGAGAGGGAAGGAATAGTGTCCAACCACTTGGACGGTCGGGGATTGAACCCCGGCCTGCATGAAGCAAGACCGTCGCTCTGCCGTCCAGCCCACGTGGTTGGGCACTCGAACAAGGGGACATAGATGGTAACTGAGCACCAACATGGACCACAGAGACATGAGAAAGAGTTCTGTCGGTGTCAGAGTAGTGACCAACTGTTATGCGCCAAGATGTGAACTGGTGTAAGCAGACTCCAAAGGAACTTTGTGTAGATATGACTACGCACAATAGGCTCTGGAATCTATTCACGATTCGATTAGGAGTTGAGAGGCGGGACCCAAGAACCGTGGCTCATCTTCCACAAATGACACAAGGTGAGTACACACACAAGCATCCAATCTTGTACAGGAAAGATAACCGCAAATGTTTGGTAGATGAACTCTCTCGGACCCTCAGACGTGTCCAGAGGTGCAGTGCTCAGATGTGTCGAGATCTGTGGTCCTCAGACGTGTCCACAGCTGCGGTCCTCAGACGTGTCCACAGCTGCGGTCCTCAGATGTGTCCACAGCTGAGGTCATCAGACGTGGCCACAGCTGGGGTCCTGAGATATGTCCAGAGCTGTGGTCCTCAGACGTGTTCAGAGCTGGTCCTCAGACGTGTCCACAGCTGCGGTCCTCAGACGTGTCCAGAGCAGTAGTCCCCAGACGTGTCCAGAGCTGTGGTCCTAAGCCGTGTCCAGAGCTGTGGTCCTAAGCCGTGTCCAGAGCTGTGGTCCTAAGCCGTGTCCAGAGCTGTGGTCCTAAGCCGTGTCCAGAGCTGTGGTCCTAAGCCGTGTCCAGAGCTGTGGTCCTAAGCCGTGTCCAGAGCTGTGGTCCTAAGCCGTGTCCAGAGCTGTGGTCCTAAGCCGTGTCCAGAGCTGTGGTCCTAAGCCGTGTCCAGAGCTGTGGTCCTAAGCCGTGTCCAGAGCTGTGGTCCTAAGCCGTGTCCAGAGCTGGTCCTCAGACGTGTCCACAGCTGCGGTCCTCACACGTGTCCAGAGCTGTGGTCCCCAGACGTGTCCCAAGCTGTGGTCCCCAGACGTGTCCAGAGCTGTGGTCCCCAGACGTATCCAGAGCAGTGGTCCCCAGATGTGTCCCAAGCTGTGGTCCCCAGACGTGTCCAGAGCTGTGGTCCTCAGACGTGTCCAGAGCCGTGGTCCTCAGATGTGTCCAGAGCTGTGGTCCTCAGGCGTGTCCAGAGCTGCGGTCCTCAGACGTGTCCAGAGCTGTGGTCCTCAGGCGTGTCCAGAGCTGCGGTCCTCAGACGTGTCCAGAGCTGTGGTCCCCAGACGTGTCCAGAGCCGTGGTCCCCAGACGTGTCCAGAGCTGTGGTCCTCAGACGTGTCCAGAGCTGTGGTCCTCAGGCGTGTCAAGAGCTGCGGTCCTCAGACGTGTCCAGAGCTGTGGTCCTCAGACGTGTCCAGAGCCGTGGTCCTCAGACGTGTCCAGAGCTGTGGTCCTCAGATGTGTCCAGAGCTGTGGTCCTCAGGCGTGTCCAAAGCTGTGGTCCTCAGACGTGTCCAAAGCTGTGGTCCTCAGACGTGTCCCAAGCTGTGGTCCTCAGGCGTGTCCAAAGCTGCGGTCCTCAGACGTGTCCCAAGCTGTGGTCCTCAGACGTGTCCAGAGCTGTGGTCCCCAGACGTGTCCAGAGCCGTGGTCCTCAGGCGTGTCCAAAGCTGCGGTCCTCAGACGCGTCCCAAGCTGTGGTCCTCAGGCGTGTCCAGAGCTGCGATCCTCAGACGTGTCCAGAGCTGCGGTCCTCAGACGTGTCCCAAGCTGTGGTCCTCAGTTGTGTCAAGAGCTGTGGTCCTCAGGCGTGTCCAAAGCTGTGGTCCTCAGACGTGTCCAAAGCTGTGGTCCTCAGACGTGTCCCAAGCTGTGGTCCTCAGACGTGTCCCAAGCTGTGGTCCTCAGACGTGTCCAGAGCTGTGGTCCTCAGACGTGTCCAAAGCTGCGGTCCTCAGACGTGTCCCAAGCTGTGGTCCTCAGACGTGTCCCAAGCTGTGGTCCTCAGGCGTGTCCAAAGCTGTGGTCCTCAGACGTGTCCCAAGCTGTGGTCCTCAGGCGTGTCCAGAGCTGTGGTCCCCAGACGTGTCCAGAGCTGTGGTCCTCAGGCGTGACCAGAGCTGTATTCCTCAGGCGTGTCCAAAGCTGTGGTCCTCAGGCGTGTCCAAAGCTGCGGTCCTCAGACGTGTCCCAAGCTATGGTCCTCAGGCGTGTCCAAAGCTGCGGTCCTCAGACGTGTCCCATGCTGTGGTCCTCAGACGTGTCCAGAGCTGTGGTCCTCAGACGTGTCCAAAGCTGTGATCCTCAGACGTGTCCAAAGCTGTGGTCCTCAGGCGTATCCAGAGCTGTGGTCCTCAGACGTGTCCCAAGCTGTGGTCCTCAGACGTGTCCAGAGCTGTGGTCCTCAGACGTGTCCAAAGCTGTGGTCCTCAGACGTGTCCAGAGCTGTGGTCCTCGGACGTTTCCCAAGCTGTGGTCCTCAGACGTGTCCCAAGCTGTGGTCCTCAGACGTGTCCAAAGCTGTGGTCCTCAGACGTGTCCAGAGCTATGGTCCTCAGGCGTGTCCAGAGCTGTGGTCCTCAGACGTGTCCCAAGCTGTGGTCCTCAGACGTGTCCAGAGCTGCGGTCCTCAGACGTGTCCCAAGCTGTGGTCCTCAGACGTGTCCAGAGCTGTGGTCCTCAGACGTGTCCCAAGCTGTGGTCCTCAGACGTGTCCAAAGCTGTGGTCCTCAGACGTGTCCAGAGCTGTGGTCCTCAGGCGTGTCCAGAGTGGTGGTCCTCAGGCGTGTCCAGAGTGGTGGTCCTCAGGCGTGTCCAGAGCTGCGGTCCTCAGGCGTGTCCAGAGCTGTGGTCCTCAGGCGTGTCCAGAGCTGCGGTCCTCAGGCGTGTTCCAAGCTGTGGTCCTCAGGCGTGTCCAGAGTGGTGGTCCTCAGGCGTGTCCCAAGCTGTGGTCCTCAGACGTGTCCCAAGCTGTGGTCCTCAGACGTGTCCAGAGTGGTGGTCCTCAGGCGTGTCCAGAGTGGTGGTCCTCAGGCGTGTCCAGAGCTGTGGTCCCCAGACGTGTCCAGAGCTGCGGTCCTCAGGCGTGTCCCAAGCTGTGGTCCTCAGGCGTGTCCAGAGTGGTGGTCCTCAAGCGTGTCCCAAGCTGCGGTCCTCAGGCGTGTCCCAAGCTGTGGTCCTCAGACGTGTCCAGAGTGGTGATCCTCAGGCGTGTCCAGAGTGGTGATCCTCAGGCGTGTGCAGAGCTGTGGTCCGCAGACGTGTCCAGAGCTGCGGTCCTCAGGCGCGTCCAGAGCTGCGGTCCTCAGGCGTGTCCAGAGTGGTGGTCCTCAGGCGTGTCCCAAGCTGCGGTCCTCAGGCGTGTCCCAAGCTGTGGTCCTCAGGCGTGTCCAGAGTGGTGATCCTCAGGCGTGTCCAGAGCTGTGGTCCCCAGACGTGTCCAGAGCTGCGGTCCTCAGGCGTGTCCAGAGCTGCGGTCCTCAGGCGTGTCCAGAGCTGTGGTCCTCAGGCGTGTCCAGAGCTGCGGTCCTCAGGCGTGTCCAGAGCTGCGGTCCTCAGGCGTGTCCAGAGCTGCGGTCCTCAGGCGTGTCCCAAGCTGTGGTCCTCAGACGTGTCCAGAGTGGTGGTCCTCAGGCGTGTCCAGAGTGGTGGTCCTCAGACGTGTCCAGAGCTGCGGTCCTCAGACGTGTCCAGAGTGGTGGTCCTCAGACGTGTCCAGAGTGGTGGTCCTCAGGCGTGTCCAGAGTGGTGGTCCTCAGGCGTGTCCAGAGTGGTGGTCAGACGTGTCCAGAGTGGTGTCCTCAGAGCTGTGGTCCTCAGACGTGTCCAGAGCTGGTGGTCCTCAGGCGTGTCCAGAGCTGTGGTCCTCAGGCGTGTCCAGAGCTGTGGTCCTCAGGCGTGTCCAGAGCTGCGGTCCTCAGGCTTGTCCCAAGCTGCGGTCCTCAGGCGTGTCCAGAGCTGTGGTCCTCAGGCGTGTCCAGAGCTGCAGTCCTCAGGCGTGTCCAGAGCTGTGGTCCTCAGGCGTGTCCAGAGCTGTGGTCCTCAGGCGTGTCCAGAGCTGCGGTCCTCAGGCGTGTTCCAAGCTGTGGTCCTCAGGCGTGTCCATAGTGGTGGTCCTCAGGCGTGTCCCAAGCTGTGGTCTTCAGACGTGTTCCAAGCTGTGGTCCTCAGACGTGTCCAGAGTGGTGGTCCTCAGGCGTGTCCAGAGTGGTGGTCCTCAGGCGTGTCCAGAGCTGTGGTCCCCAGACGTGTCCAGAGCTGCGGTCCTCAGGCGTGTCCCAAGCTGTGGTCCTCAGGCGTGTCCAGAGTGGTGGTCCTCAGGCGTGTCCCAAGCTGCGGTCCTCAGGCGTGTCCCAAGCTGTGGTCCTCAGACGTGTCCAGAGTGGTGATCCTCAGGCGTGTCCAGAGCTGTGGTCCCCAGACGTGTCCAGAGCTGCGGTCCTCAGGCGTGTCCAGAGCTGCGGTCCTCAGGCGTGTCCAGAGCTGTGGTCCTCAGGCGTGTCCAGAGCTGCGGTCCTCAGGCGTGTCCAGAGCTGTGGTCCTCAGGCGTGTCCAGAGCTGCGGTCCTCAGGCGTGTCCAGAGCTGTGGTCCTCAGGCGTGTCCAGAGCTGCGGTCCTCAGGCGTGTCCAGAGCTGCGGTCCTCAGGCGTGTCCAGAGCTGCGGTCCTCAGGCGTGTCCCAAGCTGTGGTCCTCAGACGTGTCCAGAGTGGTGGTCCTCAGGCGTGTCCAGAGTGGTGGTCCTCAGGCGTGTCCAGAGTGGTGGTCCTCAGGCGTGTCCAGAGCTGCGGTCCTCAGGCGTGTCCAGAGCTGTGGTCCTCAGGCGTGTCCAGAGCTGCGGTCCTCAGGCGTGTCCAGAGCTGTGGTCCTCAGGCGTGTCCAGAGCTGCGGTCCTCAGGCGTGTCCCAAGCTGCGGTCCTCAGGCGTGTCCCAAGCTGTGGTCCTCAGACGTGTCCAGAGCGGTGGTCCTCAGGCGTGTCCAGAGCTGTGGTCCTCAGGCGTGTCCAGAGCTGTGGTCCTCAGGCGTGTCCAGAGTGGTGGTCCTCAGGCGTGTCCAGAGCTGTGGTCCTCAGACGTGTCCAGAGCTGTGGTCCTCAGGCGTGTCCAGAGCTGCGGTCCTCAGACGTGTCCAGAGCTGCGGTCCTCAGGCGTGTCCAGAGCTGTGGTCCTCAGACGTGTCCAGAGTGGTGGTCCTCAGACGTGTCCAGAGCTGCGGTCCTCAGGCGTGTCCAGAGCTGCGGTCCTCAGGCGTGTCCAGAGCTGTGGTCCTCAGGCGTGTCCAGAGTTGTGGCCCTCAGGCGTGTCCCAAGCTGTGGTCCTCAGACGTGTCCAGAGTGGTGGTCCTCAGGCGTGTCCAGAGCTGTGGTCCTCAGGCGTGTCCAGAGCTGTGGTCCTCAGGCGTGTCCAGAGCTGTGGTCCTCAGGCGTGTCCAGAGCTGTGGTCCTCAGGCGTGTCCCAAGCTGCGGTCCTCAGGCGTGTCCCAAGCTGTGGTCCTCAGGTGTGTCCAGAGCTGTGGTCCTCAGGCGTGTCCAAAGCTGTGGTCCTCAGACGTGTCCAAAGCTGTGGTCCTCAGGCGTGTCCAGAGCTGTGGTCCTCAGACGTGTCCAGAGTGGTGGTCCTCAGACGTGTCCAGAGTGGTGGTCCTCAGACGTGTCCAGAGCTGTGGTCCTCAGGCGTGTCCAGAGCTGCGGTCCTCAGGCGTGTCAAAAGCTGTGGTCCTCAGACGTGTCCAGAGTGGTGGTCCTCAGGCGTGTCCAGAGCTGTGGTCCTCAGGCGTGTCCAAAGCTGTGGTCCTCAGACGTGTCCAAAGCTGTTGTCCTCAGACGTGTCCAGAGCTGTGGTCCTCAGGCGTGTCCAGTGCTGCGGTCCTCAGACGTGTCCAGAGCTGCGGTCCTCAGGCGTGTCCAGAGCTGTGGTCCTCAGACGTGTCCAGAGTGGTGGTCCTCAGACGTGTCCAGAGTGGTGGTCCTCAGACGTGTCCAGAGCTGTGGTCCTCAGGCGTGTCCAGAGCTGTGGTCCTCAGACGTGTCCAGAGTGGTGGTCCTCAGGCGTGTCCAGAGCTGTGGTCCTCACGCGTGTCCAGAGCTGCGGTCCTCAGGCGTGTCCAGAGCTGCGGTCGTCAGACGTGTCCAGAGTGGTGGGCCTCAGGCGTGTCCAGAGCTGTGGTCCTCAGGCGTGTCCAGAGCTGCGGTCCTCAGGCGTGTCCAGAGCTGTGGTCCTCAGGCGTGTCCAGAGTGGTGGTCCTCAGGCGTGTCCAGAGCTGTGGTCCTCAGGCGTGTCCAGAGCTGTGGTCCTCAGGCGTGTCCAGAGCTGCGGTCCTCAGGCGTGTCCAGAGCTGTGGTCCTCAGACGTGTCCAGAGCTGCGGTCCTCAGGCGTGTCCAGAGCTGTGGTCCTCAGGCGTGTCCCAAGCTGCGGTCCTCAGGCGTGTCCAGAGCTGGGATCAATAGGAAGGGTCAGCAGGTCACGTCCTAAGAAAAACACGTTCATAACACGCATCGAAGACGGAAGATAAATCACTGGGAATTGAATGGGACCATTCAGATACAGACTGGCTAACAGACTACCTGCTGGATTGCCTGGCTCTCCTTCCGTGTCCTCTACCTCTGCTTGCCTGCCTGCTTTCGTCTGCTTGCCTGCCTGCCTTCCTCTGCTTGCCTGCCTGTTTTCCTCTGCTTGCCTGCCTGTTTTACTCTGCTTGCCTGCCTGCTTTCCTCTGCTTGCCTACCTTCCTTACTCTGCTTGCCTGCCTGCCTTCCTCTGCTTGCCCTCCTGCTTTCCTCTGCTTGCCTTCCTACCTTTCTCTGCTTGCCTGCCTGCACTAGCGGCTACGAGCAAGAGGTGGAGTTGTAAGGAGGGTTCCTCATCATGATACAGATTGGATGAGAGTTGAGCAAGTGTCAAGTTCTGCGTCCTTGGAAAGTCTAAATAGAATCAAACATACATTCAAACAGAATCAAACGTACACAAACAAACATTCATTTGTAACGAAGAACACAAGGAATATATGAAAAATATCAGAGAAGACAACAAACACAATGTTTGACGGCTTAGTAATGGTCCAGAAGGGACCGACACGTGGTCGTCTCCTCATCTTCTGGTGTAAGGTTTGTTCATCATATCTTGAGCCACGTTATTGTGACTCATCGTCTCCAAACACAATGTTTCTCTGCTAACTTTAAGGCATAAGACGATTAACCGTGAACAAATTTGGTCAATACTGTTCAACTGTTCAGCAAGATGATAATCAAGATGCTATCAGTAACATACACATTGTATCCCTTTGTTTTGCGTGGAAACGTTAAG